AAAAGCTTTTGACAGGTCCAACGCTACGAGGATCGTTCTCTCACAGGGTGGTTTCTGGTTGAGGCCACGAACTATCTGAGCGTTTATGACGCTAAGTGCCGTGGTGGTACTGTGCATTTTACGGAATCCATGCTGGTGGCTGGCTAGGCTCAGGTGGTGAGTGAATGTCGGGAGTAACAAGGCTTCAAGTGTCTTCACTACTGGGGAGAGAAGAGTTATCGGGCGATAAGATTCCCCTTTGTTAGCGGGTTTCCCAGGTTTCAGTAGTGGGACCACTCTTCCGTTTTTCCACACATCGGGTATTTGAAGAGTGGTTAGCGACAGGTTAAGGACCTTGATGAGATATTTTACTCCCGTCGAGTCTAGATGCTTTAGCATTAGCATGTTGATTCCATCAGGGCCAATGGATTTGGAAGATTTTGCTTTGTTGATGACACCCTGAACCTCTTCATCGGTGAAAGTAAGTGGCGCGCCGTCGGTTGGCATTTTGCGCAGCCGTCGGTTAACACATCGTTTGGCTTTGTCTACCSRAGRGTGCAGTGTAAACTGCCGGCTAAAATAGCTCGCGCACTTCTTCGGGTCTGGAGAGGCATGACCATTGAATTGAACTTCAACTCGGTCGTCGTGACTCTTCGGGTTGGACAAAGCTTTGACAGTAGCCCAAAGCTTACTCACACCGGTGGAGAGGATGCAGGACTTCAGGTGATCTATCCATTTCGTCCGCTTAAGCTGGTTTACAATACGCCGAATCTCCAAATTGAGATCCCTTATCCGGGGATCCCCGGGATCGGCATGGCGTAAGGTGTTGCGCTCATTAGCTAAAACGGCTGCTTCGGCTGGGAAGTTGGGGCACATTTCCGCTATTCGTCCAGCTAGTATGAAGCGAGCGGTAGCTGCTGCGATCACCTTGCGGAATTGACGTTCGGCAACGCATACGTCCGTAGGAATGGGTTGAGCGTTAAAGGTGCTCTCAGTAAATTCTGTGAAGCCGACCCAGTTAGCTTTGTAGAAGTTGACGAAGGTGCGGTTGTCCACAGAAACGAAATCGGCACGTGTCTCGATCGAGATAATTATGGGTAGATGGTCTGATGCGAGAGTTAGCATAGGTCGCCAGGTTATGCTATTTATCAGACCACCACTAGCGATTGTAATATCGGGCGAGCTGCTACAAGTGCCCATAACTCTGGTGGGGGCTTCGTCATTCATTGTGCAGAATGTCGAATCGTCAATCTGTTCCGCCARCTCCATCCCCCTACGGTCATTTGACAGACAGGAATGCCAAAGATCGTGGGGCGCGTTAAAGTCGCCTAGCACCAAACGGTTTTCACCACGAAGTAGCGCACCTATATTCGGGTGATATCCTGTAGGGCAACATGTAACTGGCGGGATGTATATATTAAATATTTCGATCTCGACATCACCTGACTGGATAGCTATACCCTTACATTCTAGGGTAGTATCCCTGCGGTCGATGCCTTCATCGATTAGATGATACTGCACGGTGTTGTCCGATATGACATCTAGGCCACCATCATTATATCGCTCGCGATCTTTACGTAAAACGTTGGTTTCTTGGACCGCAGCTATTGTAATGCGTTCCCGATTCATAAGTGCAACTATCTCCTCGATCTTACTCTGGAATCTGTTGCCGTTGAATAGAAGTATACGGGTTTGTCACAGGTATCCGTGCGTGATGCTGGAGATGAGGGAGTGGCGTGTAGGTGGTTTTTGTTGCAGCTGTAAAAATCTCGAGGATTGGAGCTAAATGAAGGTTGGAGGGTGACAGGTCAAAGTGGGAGCTATGTTGCCTATTTGAGCTCCTGAGGACGGTGGAGGTCCACGGCCACTTGAGGGGTGAGTGGCGACGCAGCGTGCGACCCATGTGCAGATTGCACAGCCGTAGAGGCTAGTGTCGCAGTATTGCTTTGGCAACTTTGATATTTTTATTAGTAATATTATATTTTATAATAAAAAAATTCCTCTCATCGCATAAACTGTACCAACTTGAGCTAGGTAAAATTCTGATATCTAATTCAGCACGAACAATTAAAGTTACCTTAATCTATCAGAATTTGAACTTTTCTACCGTTTGGCTCAGTCACAAGTAACAGTAAGCAGATGTCATTATCTTGCTTACTTTCCTGTTGTTACTCCTTTCAATCGACAATTCATTAGACAAAGAAATAGCACACATTTAGTTATTTGTACGGTATTTTAATTGTCAACTGTGTGCTTAACTGTAGCTGGCACATAAAATTAAAATACTTACAAAATCACATTTTGGAAAAGAGTGGACAAAATATTTGGCAGTATTGTTCAAAAATGTTTAGATAAACACATTTTGAAGAACCTTTAGTACTTATTATAATAGTATGGATATATAAACGTAGTTCGGGTTACACGTCATAAATGAATGTGCGGAAATATAATAAATTTAGTTCCAAGTAAATAATAATAATTGTCTATAATAAATACGATATCAAAACTAAATGCTATAATCCTGGTTATTACAGTATAAATCAAACCAAACACTTACCTTGCTGAGGATTTTCTGTTAAGTTCGTAATAATGCCGCTGTATTTATTGAATTGATAACTTTCACTATGTGCCTCGCATTGCGTTTCAATATTTAAAAGTTTAGATTCAGTAATCATTTCTTCGCTATCGGAAAGTTCTTCTATTAAGTCCACTACAGTGTCATCCAATGTGAGTTCTGTGTTCACAAGAACATTCGTCTCAATACCTTCTGCAATGTCATCGCTAAATGATCCCAAGCATTCGTTCTGGCATTCGGTTGAATTTTCATTTAGAGTTTTGCTATGCAATTCATCAATAATTATATTTTCAATAAATTCACCGAATTCAGGCTTCTCTAATGGAGATATCTCGTTTTCACAATCAATAAGTATGGGATCTATGTTGTATACTTGAACAGTTCGATTATACGCTTTGATTATTTTTATTCGTAATTCGCAAAAGTTATGAAGTAGTTTCTCAAACTCCAAAATATTTGTATTGCAAGACAAGCAGAGTAACTGCAAGAAATAAGGTTATATTCAATCTTAAAAGAATCTTTGTTTCTTACATTGGAATGCGAGTTTATTTCATTTAATTCTCTGCCTAAAGCAGTTGCTAATACAAGAGACAAAGGGTTATCAATTCCACCATCGTCACGCAGCCGCATTTCAAATATTAGGAAAGTGTCTTCTCCTTCAACGAAATCGCGATCACAGAGGAAACATTTTGCATTTCTTAACATAAAGTCATTCTGGACTAACGTATTCCCTTCATCGATATGTGATTCACTACTGAAGTATTTTCTCTCTGAAGTTAACACCATATTTGATTGAATTGTATATATGCACGGTAAGAACCTTGTATTAAGTTTTGTACCACCTGCAAAACATTATATATTACTGTCATAAACAAACATTAGCATTTTCAAATGAGAATATTATACAATACCTCCCAAGCTTATATAATATGGTAAATTTCAAAAAAAAAATATAGCAAAATTTTACACTTCTAGATGTATTATTACATGTTTTACTGTATTATACCCAAATAACATTAACATACAAAACTACAGCAGGACAGAAATATATCGCAAATCGATATGTACGGAAACTGTCGTTTTTGGCAGAGTTGCAAATCTTCATCCAAACATTAAATAAGTTTTTTATTTTTTTTTATTTTATAAAAGCTTACATAATAATACAATTATTATACAAACTAAGAAAATACGCAGCACTAGCATCCTGGGCTATCGGCCGCGAATTAAATAAGTTTTTTGCTACAAATACACTAGGGGTATTCGGGATCTGTTGTATTTGCCATTGTATTTTTGTATTCGTGGTTTCTGCGGTTTTTATAGTAAATGTAGTAAAAATCCAACAGCAAAATATACGTACCATTCAAATACAACAGTGTAAGAAAATACAATAGTGCGACCCTATTGTAATTGTGGTTTTTGTTTTGTACATTTCTCACAGCTGATCACAATTAAAAAGATGGCTGGAATGATGAACGCTGTAAGTTTTTATTGCTAAGCTTTTTTTTAAATATTTTAATAAAAAGTCTATTTTACAGAAGTTAAAAAAGGATAAAATAAGGCGGCGGGAAAAACCTAATAAGAAATGGACAGAAGAAGAAGTGGGACAAGTTCTTAACTATTTGCATGAGCATCCGTCGTTTGAAGTAATTTGCAGCTATTCTTATTTTGTTTGTTTATATTTTTTTGTATGGACGCTTTTATATCTTTTTATACTACAGATGCCTTCTGCACAAATTTTTTACAAAAAATTACTATTAGAAACAGGAATCTGGGCAGATTGGAATTTAGTTCGGTGGAAAGTACGCAACAGCGCACCGCATACAAAAAAGCAAAGCAGTGGAGAAATGGGACAGGCGCCGGCCCGTTAGAGGAACAAGGTATCGAAAGTATTGATCGTAAGTATAATGAATTTCGAAATTTATATTTTATTAGTAATTTATTTTATGCTTTTAGAAAAACTGAGCAAGATGTGTCCCCATTATAAGTGATTGCAGAGCATATTTTTTAATAGCAAATCGGCAGACTCGACACAGTACGTGTTCCAGTCCAAAGATGGTACAACTAACCATGGTGAATGTGAAATTATTCAGCAGAGCGAATATGACAGTGGTAGTATGTTCGTTGACGAAATTGCGACAAGGACTGAAAGCGAACATGATAATGTATTTTATACGTTCCCGATTGATATCGAAATTGCAACACCAGTTTCTTCTAAACGAGCTCAAAATATAAATGACAACAAGGCAGTAGAATTCGCTGAAAAGACGAGGAAATCGGCACCCACAACAGCAATTTGCAAATTATCTGCAATATAATCGGAAAGAAATGAGCTACAAATGCAACGCTTAGAATTAGAAAAGGAGAAACACAGAGACTACATGGAAAGGGAGGAAAAACGGATAAGTATATAAAAGGAAAAGTTTGTTTTTGGAAAAAGAAAGACACGAGAAGATGTTTGAGCTGGAAAAAGAAAAATTAGCCATAGAAAAAGAGAACAATAAGGATAAATTAAAAATTTTGACTATGGAGCTGGAGATGAAAGAGCGGCTAGCAGAAGCTAAGTTTTTTTCAGAAAACAGAAACCAAAAATTACACATTTTCTTTTATTTATTTATGGAACAACAATCTATTGTTATATGAAAGAGTGCCTTATTAAACTTTTTGTTTATTAAATTTATTTCTAACTCAAAAAACTTGTACTATTACTAATTTATTACTAAATTTGTGACTTTCTCTGTTTTGAATTCGAATTCTGAGCTCCTTTAGACTACCAAATTTCTCTTTTAACAACCCAAAACAATTTTCAATTCGTACGCGATACTTACTATGGCGTCGATTAAATTCATTGCGTTTTTGTATGTCCAATTGCTTTGAGTTGCTTCGATATGGTGTTATTAACGTTTTGGAAATCGGATAAGCTGAGTCACCTGCTAGTCACTGAAATCCTGAAAAAAATTTCGACTCTTCAGGAAACAAAGCGCATGTTTTATATACTTTAGCATCATGAGCGCTACCCACATGGCCCACTACAATATGTCGAATTCTGCATTTGTGGTCACAAACCACTTGAGCTTTTATAGAGTAACGTCGATTTTTAGAAAAATGCGTCCTGTGGTTATGGACGGGCGCTTCGGCAAGAGCAATCTCTGWTCCATCTACGTAACCAATGCAATATGAAAGTTCGTTGAACGTTTGGGAAATTAAATTTCTTTCAGCGTAATCTGGCCAAAATATAATTTTTCTCTCCAATCGTTGGAAAGCTTTAAATACTCTTTCTGTTACAACGCCAATTGTGTTTCCATCGCCAATTCCAAAAATAGAAGCTATTTTCCTTATGGAAGCATTTTCACCATAAATCCCAAGTCTGTATAACACAATTGCAAGTTGCAACTCTATAGAAAACTGTTTGCATCAGTGAAGTCGATTAAAAACATCATCTGTTTTAATTAACCCAACCAAATGAGTGAATTGAAATCGATCCACCCTTAACATTTGCTTCAACCTGGTATCATCCAGTTCAGTTCCAGTTCTGAATTCCTCGGCGGCACTGCAATATAGCGATCACCTCTTCCATACAGCAGTCTAAAATATCATCCACGGCTGCATCATCGGCATCTACAAATACCGAACTCGAATAAATAGCTCTTTATTTATAAGTATTTGAGTTACCTACCGTTCACATCAGCAATTTGATTTTCACAATTAACAATAAAATCTAATATTTTAGTTTTTTCGCTTTTTATTTGTTGTGGCACAAAAATCAGCTGTTCGACAAATTTTACAACGACATTACAATGGGTGTGTTCGCGATTTTCTTGTGTATTTCTGAATTCGTTGTAAAAAGAGTAAATAATTACTACGAATACAACAGATTCCGAATACCCCTACTAATTCGTTTAATTCATTTCTATCCGATGTAAATTTAAATATCCACGCAACTGTGTTCACGCCTAGAATCAAATATTGGAAGTTGTTGAAGACATTAGGGGGATTCTCTTGCTCTTACAAGATTGCAGTTTGCAAAAACCTATACCGAAATATACAAGGGACGAGAGCACCCATTACAGAATGTAGTGATGGCTATTGTGAATTGGCGCACCTTCTGCATTCATTTTTAACAATGAAAACTGTAACAAATCTTTATAATTTAAAGAGAAATTATAAAATCTCTTTAAAAATTACTTTCCTCAACAATTTAACGGCGAAATTTGTCTTTATGTAAAATGACAGCTAAAACAGGGTTACAATTATATTTTTAGGTGTCATTGCACGCAAATAAACATATGTTTTGGTCTGACATATTTTAGAGCCATTGCAAATAATTTTTTGCGTGTGTTTGTTGTTGTGCCCTTGCGTTAGGAGGAAAAATCTGCAACTCATGCTAAGTGCAAAGGTTTTACAAGAACAAGAGAATACCCCTATTGATTTTATTTCTTTTTGCGGTTTTCAACCCGACTTGGTCGAGTTGAAGTTAAGGCAATTCAACTTCAGATCAACCAAACTCTTTCGGTATTGCGAACTTCAACTAAGTTCAGTTGAAGTATGATTGGCGTTGAAACCTAAGAAAGGGAAATTTTACAGATAGTGAAATAGCTAACATTTTTTAAACGACATATTGAAACAATTGAATTCAGTTGTCGCTCGCGAAAAAGTGAATAAACATTAAAATAAATAAAAAATGGATATAAGTGTTGATCTATATTACAATGACGAAAATATTGGGGGAAAAATTGATGTGCTACGTATACGGAAAAGCCTTCGTGATCGTTCAAATCCATTGGAGCTTCCAAATGCAAAGTAAACCATAGTTTTTTCACAATTGAGTGGCTTTTTAATAATATTTGTTGCAGATTCGTAAGTTATTTTCGATTAAATAAAGAAGCATTTTGTTTCTTACTGAATGAGATGAAGGAACATCTCCACAAACGTGTGCGAGGAACGGCCATACCTCCTATATTAAAATTATGGGCAACTCTGCGTTTCCTTGCTGACGGTGGTTATCAAAAAAGCAGTGGAAATGATTTTAACATTGGGTTGGCGCAACCTACGATATCTTCAGTAATTAAAGATGGTCTAAATATAATTGAACAACATATTTGTGCCCAATGGATTAAAATTCAAATGACTGAGAATGAGCTGGGCCACGCTCTCCTCCATTGGGCTCAGCGACGGCTCTAGCGACGGTCCACCACCAGTCGCAAGGAAGTTATTCCTGTTGTCGGCAAGTTTTTTCGTTAAATTTGCCTTATAGCGAATCCACACCTAATAAAAAAATCTTATTTTTAGTTAATATTTTTATTGTCATAACCATAACTTACTCGTCCCCATTCGTAGGCAGTTCTGCTTGGTGGCCCTAAACAATTTAACTGCAATGCCACACTCTCCCACAATTCTTTGGTTTTGAATTTATTGTTTCCAAATTGTGTCTTTCCTCTTCCTACTTCTGGAAACTTCTCCATTAACTCCACCGATTTTTCAAATTACTTCTTTATTTTTTCTAAAATTAATATTAATAATTAATTAAGATTAATTAAAATTAATTTAATATTAATTAATTTAATATTAATTTAACATTAATTAAATTAGTTATTTTACCCGTTCTCCATATTTCTTTAATATTTTTTTTGTAGTTTACTGCACGAATGTTGAATGTTTACTGCTTAAGAGCAGTTGAAGTTTATTTATATACTAATCAACCCAACTTGTACAACCCAAAAAAAGTTGAAGTTCGATCATACTTCAACCGCAATTTCTTCTGACGGATTGAGTTGAAGTTGGCAATACAGAATTTTTACACTTTGACTGAAGTGCAGTGGGGTTGAAAACCGCAATACTGGCATTAATCATAGAGGAAGTGTGAAACAATATATTGTCCTTATAAGAATCGGACAAAATCGATTTCAAGGTCAAAGTTGATACATTTTCAAAAATCAGAAAATGTATTTTCAAAGATATCCGGAAAACTAGAAAATAAGACAGATTGGAATATTAACACCCCCATTCAGTAGACCTGACAAATTGCTAAACTATAGTTAATTTGAAATTTTTATCACGAAGGAAAGTTGTTGATATTCTGTGACAATTTTGATAAAACACAAAGCTTCAGTACGAAGAGCCTTTCCCCTACGCCTGTGTTGAACAAAATGATGTACAGTTGGTATTTCTATTCAAATTCTTAATTCGTTAAAAATCGATTCGCCGATTCCCATGTAAGTTTTCCCATATATTTATATAGTCAATGGAAAATAGTTTAGTTAACTAACTTTAATTTGACAGTAAATCGAAATTTCAAAGCTTTAGATTCATGGCACATAAACTTTTGACAGTTGAGTGCCTAACATTACGAGCATCATTTGCAGCTAGTCCTCTGCCATTAGGCAGCTCAATACAATCCTGGGCAACTGGCAAGCCAACTGGCAAGCCAACTGAACCAACAGCATCACCTCCATGCTCATCAATAATTTTGGAAAATCGTGTATGATTAAAATATATATATTTTTTTCGCATTTTTAATTACTTTTAATAATGAGCTGCTCGGAACAAGCTTATCTGCAGCATGATAACTGATATCACCGGCAGGAACATAGGGAGCTGAAGCAGGTCATACAAGGCCTAACTAATTCCGTAATGGAATTTTAAATCAAATAATAATAATTTCTAATAGGTTGGATTAAAATAATAATAACTTTAATTGCTTTAAATTAGCATTTAATGAATTCAATAAGTTACATTTTTTATACAAATTTCAGTTTTATTTCTTGTAACAAAATAGAAAAATATATTAAAAAATATAATGAGACGATTTTGCTATTCTGTAAGCGACAGTCACAAAATCTATTACATTTCATTATTCATAGATGTTTTTACACTTGAATGAAAATAACAAATATTAAATTTTCTATAACATAGTCAAAAAACATAATTATCATTAAAAATAAAAACATATGTTGACTTTTTATGTAAAATTGATTTATTTTTAACCTTTTCGTGTTTGAGTTGCTTCAAACTATAAAAAACGACAATCGATTAATATCTATGATGATCTCTATTCAGTATTTTCAAAATGGCAGACAAGGGTTCTTTTTAGTTTTGCGACCTGCTAACTATCAGGTCTCAAATTTGAGACAATATTTGAGACTAACGCTAGACTCTGTTTAGTGAATAGTAGCTAGTCACAAATTGAGACTTTACCTCAAAATGTCTCAAATAGAGACTAGGAACTTGTTACAGAACGAATGGTAGGCTTGATAATTCAATTCCAACGTATAACGAACGCCACCTTCTAATATACCAAAGACTCCAGATTTGCCACACTATTCCTCAGTTATATTCATTTATTTAGTACGCCAAGTGTTCTATTTTCCCCGTCTTAAGCCCAAATAAAAAACTGCATTGGCACATGCAAGATCTGCACCCTGCATAAGCAAAAATTACGAACGAAGATCATGACAGCAACTTATTATTTTCAGAAACGTTTTTTTATTTTTATTGAAAAAATTCCAAATTTCAAATCACAATATTTAATATTCTAATTGAGATAATCACACTTTGCAGCGCGAATTTTTAAGGTTTGAAATAATTAATAATAAATTTGTGAATATTTGATGGTTATTTTTGCGAATCGAAAATTAATTGGTGAAATTTTAGTTTACATAAAAAAACGAATATTCCTATGTTACATGAATTCTTCTTCTTCTTGATTGGCGTAGACACCGCTTACGCGATTATAGCCGAGTTAACAACAGCGCGCCAGTCGTTTCTTCTTTTCGCTACGTGGCGCCAATTGGATATTCCAAGCCAAGCCATTCCTTCTCCACTTAGTCCTTCCAACGGAGTGGAGGTATTCCTCTTCCTCTGCTTCCTCCGGCGGGTACTGCGTTGAATACTTTCAGAGCTGCAGTGTTTTCGTCCAATCGGACAACATGGCCTAGCCAGCGTAGCCGCTGTCTTTTAATTCGCTAAAATATGTCAATGTCGTCAAATATCTCGTACAGCTCACGTTCCGTCGAATGCGATATTCGCCGTGGGCAACGCGCAAAGGACCATAAATCTTTCGCAGAATAGGAAACTAAAACAAAGCGACTCCTTAGAGTTAAGCGCCTGGTTTGAGGGAGAATATTTTTTGTCGATCCACACTGTTAGTTTGAATTGAAGCCGTTTTCAATTCACGGCCACTCACAACGCTCTCGCAAGATCCCTCTGACAGGGGATTTTGCCACAGGAGAACCCATTCTTGGAATATCTGAGCCAGACCTGGAGTCGCTACTTGTATTAAGTCGATAGGAAAGAATCAAAATTCTACATCATGATTTGCCCAACCCCAACAACCATATAGGAAAACTACATTACGGTTCCCACGATCATAGACGAATAGTTTATAGTGAGTCGATATCGCCTATCAAAAATAATTGTGCCCCCGTCATGCGTGGGTACGGTGGGTAATACAAAAAATCCAGATGCGACGGACTCATAATGATCGGCTTCCTGTCCAGCGTCTATTCACTATGTTAAATGCGCCTGTGAACACGATCCCCGAAATACCATCAGCTGTTTCTTACTGATGGTGTGGAAAGAGTGATGTATAGATGCTTTTCCGAAGTATTAGCGAAGATGTGTATCAATAACCTCCTCTTTCGGCCCTTGGTCAAGAAGCATTGCATAGCTCCGTACAAGCGCGGAATCGTCTGTGTATTCCTGAGAGCACGGGCCAGACTCTAGGGAACTGCAGTATAAGCGTCGATCCTCACGGTACACCCGTTCCTGTCTATTTCGGCTCGTTTCCCTCCACACATTGAACTGAAAAAACTGATTAATGGAGAAAACAATGGAAGACACTAAAGGGAAGACTAAGCAAATGAAATAATGTGGGTGAGCTAGTAGAAATTAGCCCATATGGTGAGGTGAATGAAATCGCAATTCGTCAAGCCAGGTAAAGGTTGTTAAGATAACACGCAAAAGGCAATATGGAAACGGTAGGATACCTCACAAGCGAGGGAAGAGGAAACAATCCTAAAGATTCCGGAGCGAAATCAATAACAGAGGAAGACTGGCTGACGGTTCAGCGTTGGATGCAGAGAAAAGGGAATAAGAAGAATTCAAATACGATACAACGCCTCCGAACGGATGCGTTCTTAATTGCAAAACTGAATGATATGACGTGCGAAAATATTCTTCGAAGGGTCAATACAAATGGGACACTAATGCAAAAATGTCTCAAGAGTGAAAAAGAAATTGGAATATTCTTCTTGATTGGCGTAGTCACCGCTTACTCGATTATAGCCGAGTTAACAACCGCGCCAGTAGTTTCTTCTTTTCGCTACGTGGCGCCAATTTGATATTCCAAGTGAAGACAGGTCCTTCTCCACTTGGTCTTTCCAACGGAGTGGAGGTCTTCCTCTTCAATACTTTCAGAGCCGGAGTGTTTTCGTCCATACGGGCAACATGACCTAGCCAGCGTATTCGCTTTCTTTTAATTCGCTAAACTATGTAAATGTCGTCGTATATCTCGTACAGCTCATCATTCCATCGGATGCGATATTCGCCGTGGCCAACGCGCAAAGGACCATAAATCTTTCGCAGAACTTTTCTCTAGAAAACTCGCAATGTCGGCTCATCAGTTGTTGACGTCGTCCAAGCCTCTGCACCGTATAGCATGACCGGAATTATGAGTGACTTACAGAGTGTGGTTTTTGTTTGTCGAGAGAGGGCATTGCTTCTCAATTGCCTACTCAGTCCGAAGTAGCATCTGTTGGCAAGAGTTATCCTGCGTTGGATTTCTAGGCTGACATTGTTGGTGGTGTTTACGCTGG